GTGGACAATATGTCTGCAGTATTTGAGATCAAGAGCATACTCCATGACCTGCGACATGGTGATTTCTCAGTCACCGAGTATTTTAATACACTCAGTCGACATTGGCAACAACTAGACATATACAAAGACGTTCAATGGAGTTGTGCCGAGGATAAGAAGAAGTATAAAGAGTTGGTGGAGAAAGATAAGATCTATAAGTTTCTATTGGGGCTGAACACAGAACTTGATGAAGTTCGGGGGAGAATCCTTGGAACCAAGCCTGATGGAAGTGAGTAGAAGTGGTTGACGTTCTTCACTCTCCACCTTCAATCCCTTTCTTCTCTTGAGGTTGACACGCCAATTAAGAGAGAAACACCTTGAAGAAGTTTCAATGGTGGAGAAGCAACAAGGAGGTTCGGTAGCTTCTTCAAGAAGATAGAAGATTGAGGCACCAAGGCACAAAGGTTGGAAACCTTTGTGAAGGAACCTAGGGGAGAAAGTTCTCCACGAAATTCTAAGGCTTTGGAAGAGAGAATTTGAGAGAAAATTCTGATTATTATTCATCCAAAGTGAGGGAAAAGGTTAGAGTTAGAAATATATAGAAGGAGGTAGCTTAGTGAGCAAGCTAACTTTAACCATGGTTCAAGTGAACCATGGTTGAGTTGCTTGACCGTCCAAGCTAGTTAAGAGGCTTGTGGAGCAAGCTCCTCTCTTAGCTTGTTTGGGAAGCAAGCTAAGGAGAAACTTGTAGCACAAGCTTCTCAAGGCTTAAGGAATGAGAAGCAATTTGGCCAAGGAAGAAGAACTAGGCAAGCTAGGCGGCCTTGGGTCCATTTTGCTCACTTTAATTATTTCAAAAAATGTTTGGTTTGGTTTAGTTAGGTCCATCCAAAAATGATGACACCTAGCTAAATCAAATCCATGAAAAATTAGGAGCAAAATGAGTCCAATGTGTAAAATTTTGCCTAGGTCCAATTCTGGCCCAATTACTAGTCACACCTTCAAGTATTGCTAATTGCCACCCCACTTCTACTACTGAAAAAAATAGAAAAAGAGTGTAGTTCAAAATTAGGTTAAATGGAGTCAAAGTCTCCAAGTAACCTACCCTAGAAACAATATACAATGGTCTATAAAATGAAATAAAGTGCCTCACAAATACAAAGGCAAAAATAAGCCTATACAAGGAAACTATGTACAAGTTTATATACAACATATGAAAAGGTCTTCAACATCATCCCATTCCTCTTGGTTCTTTTAAAGTATCATCTCCTATAAAATGAAATAAAGTGCCTCACAAATACAAAGGCAAAAATAAGTCTATACAAGGAAATTATGTACAAGTTTATATACAACATATGAAAAGGTCTTCAACATCATCCCATTCCTCTTGGTTCTTTTAAAGTATCATCTCTTGGATTCCTTGGCCTTGGTATATTTCCATCAAAACATCTTAAAACAATCCGAGAAGTATTTTCGGAAGTGAGAAGAAAGGAGAGAAAGAGGAAAGTGATGTTGGGAAAGTAAAGTGCAACCCAATTCATTGAAGGCTCAACAATGGCGGCAAGGGAGAACCAGCCTCGTACAATGTGAAATATGCCAATTGTCCAAACATACCCGTAGCTCCTACCTTCGTCAACCCTATAAACCCTCTCAACCTTTCTCCCTAATTCACAGTGATATACGGGGACCATCACGGGTAAACAATGTCACTGGATCAAGATGGTTTGTCACCTTCATTGACGATCACACACGAGTCACTTGGGTTTTCCTAATGAAGGAGAAATCAGAAATTGGCAAAATATTTGAGTTGTTTCATATTATGGTGGAAACACAATTTCAAAGAAAAATTAAGGTGCTTAGAAGTGACAATGGCCGAGACTATTATCATTCTGCACTAAATTCCTACCTTCAGAAACATGGAATCATACATCAGAGTTCATGTGTAAATACACCTCAGCAGAACGGAGTCCCTGAAAGAAAGAATAGACATCTCCTAGAAGTGACCAGATCTCTCATGTTAACTACAAATGTACCCACCCAATTTTGGGGAGAAGCTGTCCTCTCTGCAACCTAGCTCAAACAGAATGCCCTCTTGAATCCTCAACTTTAACACCCCTTATTCTACTCTCCAAATCTAATACCCTACCAGTCGTATCCTTACATCCATTCCCTTGAAAATATTCGGATGTTCAACCTTCATCCACAACCTCAATCCTCGTCTCAACAAACTTGACCTGAAATCCATCAAATGCATCTTCCTCGGCTACTTCCCCCACCAAAAAGGGTACAAATGTTATTCACCCCAAACCAAGAAATTTTACCACACCATGGATGTCACTTTTTTTGAGAATCAACCTTATTACCCCAAAGTTGGCATTCAGGGGGAGCACACTTATCCAATTGAAGTGGTAGAATCCCAACTTTTGGGATTTGAGCTAGCTGAATCTGCCCCAAATATAGAGCCAACCAATATTAAACCTGCACAAGAGAAAACTACAGTAGAAAATGCAAAAAATACAATAGAATTTTTGGGATTTGAGCTAACCGAATTTGCCCCAAATGCAGAACCAGTCGAGACTGCACTTGCAGTAGAAACTAGACAAGAAAATGCAGTAGAAATTACACCAACTAAAGCTAGAGAGAGGATTGCATCTCAACAGAATCAAAGTCCGGCCACATAAGGAGACAACTGGACGACGTACTTCAGGAAGAGAAGGAAGGGAGTAGAGTCCAGCACAGATCTAAGGCAAAGCCATGAATCCAACCAGGCTCCAAAAAATGAGTTTTCCCTAGGTAATATCGTTCTTAATCCAAAACCTATTGATGACATTGACATTCCTATTTCCTTAAGAAAAGGGGTGAGATCTTGCACTCAACACCCCATTGAGAAATATGTGTCCTATGGAAAATTGTTACAGGGGTATAGGTCTTTTGTGGCAACTCTTGACAGCACAAATATCCCAAGGAATGTTCAAGAGGCACTCCAACAACGTGAATGGGCAGCAGCTGTAACAGAAGAAGTCCAGGCCTTGGTTAAAAATGGCACGTGGGAAATCACCACTCTACCGGAAGGGAAGAAATCGATTGGATGCAAGTGGATTTTCTCCATCAAATACAATGTCGATGGTAATATAAACCAATACAAAGCTCGATTGGTGGCAAAAGGGTTTACCCAAACATATGGAGTGGACTACGAAGAAACTTTTGCACCGGTGGCCAAACTTAATTCAATTCGAGTCATACTCTCTTTAGTTGCCAATTTAGATTGGCCACTCTATCAACTAGAAATCAAGAATGCCTTCCTAAATGGTGAACTAGAAGAAGTCTATATGCAAATTCCCTCGGGACTTGAGTCATCCAGAACCTCAAGCATCGTGTGCAAGCTATAAAAATCTCTATATGGCCTTAAGTAATCTCCAAGAGCGTGGTTTGATAGATTGACTCACGTTGTCAAGGAAGATGGGTTCAACCAATGCCAATCAGATCACACTATGTTTGTCAAAAACTCCTTGGAAGGGAAGGTAGCCGTGTTCATTGTTTATGTTGATGATATCATTATCACAGGAAACGATTATGATCAAATCAAGCATTTGAAGAGACTTTTGGCCAAGGAATTTGAAGTCAAGGACTTGGGTCAGATCAAATATTTTCTAGGGATATAAATTGCTCGGACAAAGAATGGTATTTATGTATCACAAAGGAAATATACATTGGACTTACTTCAAGAAACTGACATGCTTGGATGCAAGGCAGCCAATACTCCCATTGAACCGTAAAAGAGAAGTGAAGAAGAAAGTCCACCAGATGATAAAGATAGATATCAAAGCCTAGTTGGGAAGCTAATCTACCTAACTCACACTAGGCTCGACATTGGTTTTGCTGTGAGCTTAGCTAGTCGCTATACATCTAATCCAACTAAGGCCCACATGAAAATGGCGAACAGAATCCTCCAATATCTCAAAGGTACACTAGGTTGAGGGCTCTACTTCAAAAAGAACTCAAACAGAGGCATTGAAGTCTACATTGACTCGGATTGGGCAGGATGCCCCTATGATAGGAAATCAACTACAGGCTATTGCTCCTTTGTGTGGGGAAACATGGTGACTTGGAGAAGTTAGAAGCAACCTGTGGTGGCAAGGAGTAGTGCAGAAGCTGAACTCAGAGCTATGGCTCAAGGTATCTGTGAAGGAATCTGGCTTAAGAGGATGCTAGATGAAATCAGAATTGAGATTGACTGGCACTTCATTAAAGAAAAAAATTGACCACGGTATTATAAGTGTTGACCATGTTCCATCATGCAGACAAACAGCAAACATCTTGACAAAGGCTCTTCCAAGGAACACATGAAAACATTAGCTCCAATATGGGTATGATAGACATCTACCATCCAAATTTAGGGAGAGTGTTGGAGATCAACACATATCAATCAGAATCTATTGGAGATCAGCATATATCAATTAAAATCATTCAATTCTGATTTGTGTAGCCCGTAATAGGATTTAATGTAAATAAGATCAATTTTATTTCCGCTCTTTTAATTATTTAGATACAACATTTATAGGGAGAATTATTTCCCAAATTTTTAGGGATAGATTAGTGTGTAGGTTTATTCCCTTGTGTTCTATTTATACCACCTTTGTATTTTTTCCCAGATCAAAAAAATATACATCATATGTTTCCGCACCATTTTCTCTTTCCCCCCTACTTTTTGACATACGCCCTGAATTTCACAGTTGGATAAATAGGATTAGCTATCAAATAGTATAGCAAAAATTAAAAACAATTACTATCTTTAGGGCTAAAGAGATGAACATCTAAGGAGATGCATGTGTAGTATTGATCATAGCGTTGTCATCCAACCATCAACACCTTTTGTCTTTGTCCTTCCTTTGTGAAAAAACTTATCCATTGTACTTTCAGTGTGTGCTTACAACTAGATGTTTCTTTTGGCTTTCTTTGGTGACATATATTATGATGTTGGTGCTTTCAGCTTAGTTTAATATCCTATTTCTTTTCTTTAGCCTCTTAACAGGGATCATGGGTTTCCATTGCGAGTGGTTGTTCCTGGTGTCATTGGAGCACGGTCTGTTAAATGGCTGGAAAATATCAATATCATTGAAGAAGAGTGCCAGGTCAAATATATGACGTAGAATGGTATTGATATACCAAAAATTTCATTTTCGAAATGCCCCATAACTTCCCATCATCATGTACCAGGGTTTCTTCATGCAAAGGGACTACAAAATGTTTCCGTCATCGGTGAATTGGGATAATATTAATTGGTCAACCAGGAGACCACAAATGGATTTCCCAGTTCAGGTATTTTGATAACTTTACTATTTCTTCTTTACGAATTTTTAAGTAAAAAAAACTATCAACTAGTAGTATTTTTAAAGCTAGTGTTGTACATTTAATTTGTTACAGGATGGGTAATCAGGCGATGATAAACCAAGAAGAACAAATTTATATATTTTTTTTGAGTGAACCCTTTGTAACTAATACTTATCACTTCTGTGTGGCAGTGTGTTATATGCTCTCTAGAAGATGTGAGCACAATAAAGCCTGGGAAGGTTAGTTTATTTAATCATGCTTATAATGGGCTATTCATGCATGAATGTGTTTTTGGGTACCATTATTTCTCTGATTTTTTTTAATTCTTTTTTTTAAATTACATTAAAGTGTTATTCTATATGAAATGCAAAAGCATGTCAATTTTGCTTTGTTTATTCTTGATCTTATTTGCATGGCATGCACATTTAGAACTTTGAATAATCTTTTCAAATGTTTGATTATCATTGTATGCGGCATTTGCTTCAAAATATATTGATGTTCCCAAATCTATTTTATGTACGGAGAAAATTATTTTGTTTTCCTCAAAAGCAAATTCAAATATTTTTAACTTAATTTTCCTGAAAATGAAAACACATCCTTTCATTGCAGAAATGAATTTTCAATTCTCACCCATCCACCTGAACTCAATAGTGGTATATGTTCCATTTGATGGTATTTTGCCTACCTCTTTCTTTTTCCTTGCATGTTCTGTCCATGTGTTAGTTTTTAACTGAAACTGCATATCTTGTGCAGGTAAAAATTAGCGGTTATGCTGCATCAGGAGGTGGTAGAGGCATTGAGAGAGTAGATGTGTCTGTTGATGGAGGTAAAACATGGATGGAAGCCTCAAGATTTCAGAAAAGTGGTGTTCCCTATATAGCAGATGATGCCAGCAGTGACAAATGGGCATGGGTGCTGTTCGAGGTCACAGCTGATATTCTTCACAGCACCGAGATTATTGCAAAAGCGGTATGTCTGTATCTTCTTCCAGTTGTCATCTCATCATGATTCTAGTATATTTCTAGTGAAAATAATGAGTTCGTTAATCTGTTATGATGGTTAGCATGTATTGATGTATCATGTAAGGTTATGATGGTAGGATATTGGTCATCCAAATCAGAATGTGGTTAAAATTTTTATCTATATCTATTCCAGATTAGCTGCTTTATGAATGGAATTGCTAGACATTTAAAACCATTTGAGTCTTCACCTTACAGCTTAAGCTTCTATGTCCAAAATGGTTTAGAATTTGATCCTTTTGCCCTTATTTTTTTTTAATAAAGTTGACTTTAAGCATAAGTCAGGTGAGTCTATGCTTTATAGCCCTAAGGGTTCTACATAAGGGGGCATGTTAGAAATATAAGATTGGATTATTAATGTGCCTATATGAAACAGCTTAAGCATTTGGGATCAATGGGTCATGACAATCCAATCTTGATGTTCGACCACGTAAAAAAATCTAGTTTTGCACACTCCCTAGCCCAAATGTCTAGGCTCGAGTGTGAAGGCGTCTTTTAAAGATGTCCCACATCAGTCAAATTAGTCCTTATAAAACTTGGCAAAAAACCTCTGCATTGAGTTAACTTTTTTAATTTAGGTAGGCCTAATCCAATTCTAAATGAATAAAATGTTTCTGTCCTTAAATGCTGAAGCAATAAAATCAATTTTCCTTTTTGAATTTTTCAGTGAATATGTGGCATCTTATAACACTCCATTGTCCTTAAATGCTGAAGCAATAAAATCAATTTTCTCTCTTGACCCTTGATACCCTTTTATATTATAATTTTTTCCATATCAATAGAGCATCCACATGAATAACATAGCAAATGAAAGTATAAAACGTTTTGAGAGGAAATTAACTTGGTATAGAACTCAAATATTTGAGATAGATCCAGTCATCTACATGCATGAACTGAATCCATGTGAACTTTGGAAATTTAAAGAAACATTGTAGCCATGGTTGACAAAATTGAGATTCTATTCTGACTCAGAAAGGGATTACAAAATCGTAATATGTGAAATTGTAACTCAAAACGTAGATTCCACAAGATATATAAAATTCATATATGTGTAACTATGATAGTATCAATAACAATAAAAAAGACATTATAACACATCAAATACTAAATTAAACTTGAACAGTTAAATTCATAATCATAAATTCATCATGAAGTCGATATCTAAATTCAAATGACAAACAACAGCTTAAAATATTGTACTTCAATAGCAAAACAACTTAAAACACCTAATTAATCTAGACCTCTAACTAAGTCTAAAAAAAATCATCTAAATTAAAATCATAATCACTCGATGTCATTATTTTTATTTCTTCCATCTCCTCCATTAACCATAGTAGCAAAATAGCCTCATCTAAATGTGGCACTTCAATGACATTATCCCCATCCTCATTTGGAATGTATCCAATTTCATTCACTTCGACTTCTTCATCACTTTTCAAAATCCACTCACTATCAGATGGGATATCATCAAGTATTGGTAGCCCTCCACTTGTTCTTCTAGCTTGTTTCCGCTTTGCCAATTCTGAATTAGTCATTACAAAAACAACATTATTCATGGTGTTTTGCTTCAAATGATTTCTTCTGTTGGTGTGGACCTAAGCAAATTCAAATATGACAAGGCTAAAATGCACTTCAATTATGCTCACATCAGAATGAGTTGCTAGTCAAAGTTAATACATGTATGACAAAATTTTGGAGGTCTAGATGTTCATCACCACAAGTCTCCCACCATGCTGCTAGAGGCTTCTTTCCAATTTCCCTAATGGCCATGGGATTACCAAAAAAACCCTTTTGATTCTTGTTTTATTTGAATATTAGTCAAAGTTTGTTCTCTGGGATCCTTTACCATCCTTTGTATACATACATGCAATTAGACCCTTTTTAACTTCCAAATCAACTTTAAAATTAGGTCCATAATGCAACTCAAGATTCAGATAACAGGCGTTTACATGTTGCTTATTATTTGAATGTAAAGGCCTGTTATCTGAATCTTGAGTTGTATTAGGGACCTAATTTTAAAGTTGATTTGGTAGTTGAAAAGGGTCTAATTGCATGTATACAAAGGATGGTGAAGGATCTTGAAGAACAAACTTTGATTGATATTCAAATAAAAGATTTTAAGAATCGAAAAGGGTATTTTGGTAATCCCATGGCCATTAGGGCGGTTGGTAAAAAGCCTCTAGCTGCTTGGTGGGAGACTTATGGAGAGGAACATCTAGAGCTCCAAAATTGTCATACATATATTAAGTTTGATCTGCAGCTCATCTGGATGTTAGTGTAATTGGAGTGCATTTGATATGGTAATTAAAACTTGAATTATTAGCATTTTAAAAGTTAAGTTGCTTAGCCTTGACATAATTGCGTTTTAATTAACTTAGGTCCACACCAAGAAAAGAAACTGTTTGATGCAAAACACTGAATGATGCTGATTTTGTAATGTTTAAATTCAAACCAACGAGAAAATCATACTGTGTTGCTTGATATACTCGTTGAGTGTTGCTGCATCCTCAGAACACTTTGTCTTTATGACCTTATAATGGTCCAGTTCCATCCATAATGACTTCAGCTGATTAGCATACTCAGTAACAGTCTTGTTCCCTTGTATTGCTGCCAAAGTTTTCACCTTTACCCCATATACTTGAGCAGCATCTTGGCTTTAGAATAGGTTTCTTCTACGGCATCCCAAATCTCCTTTGTCGAGTTGAGAAACATGCACGTGTCATTGATTTCTGTATTCATTGAATGCCATTTTCCAAGTTGAGAAACATGCACGTGCATTGATTTCAATATTCATTGAATGCCATAGCCATGTCGTGATCATTGAGCCTTCCTTATCCCATGTGATAAATTTGGCATCCTGCCTATTAGGTCTAGCCTTTGTCAAGTGGTTTGCCTTTCCCTTTCCTTTCAGAATTGTCCGAATGAGTTAGGACTATTTTAGATAGTTTTTTCCATTCAGTTTATAAGCTGAATGGATATTCTGCAGCTCTCCAGAATGTTGAGATTGCCCATCCCTTTTTTTCAGGTGGTGGGTTCTTGACCTCCTTTGTAGACATTGTAGGATTAAAATTACAGCTGATAAATTGTGCACAGAAGGCACAAAAAGTTACAGCAGCAATGAAGGCTAGTGCTTAGGGTTTAGATTGCACAGATAGAGGCACTTAGATCGGATGCTTTGATACCATCTATGAAATTAGGAATGAATTGATTTTTTTTGTTTTATAAAGATAGGGGTGCAAAAGCATCACTATAGAATTAAGACATTCTAACAATGTTGGCACCTTAAGGTTTATCAATCATTAACAGTACACCCAATATATTAAATAGAGAAAAATATAATAACAAAGATCATGGGGGACTAGACCGAAATCCATGAAATACTAACATAAATGAAAAGCAGGCAACCTACAACGATTGCAAAAAAAATCCTCCTTAAGACAATTAGGAAGGAAATCTCATTGAACAAAATTGCACTGATGATCTAACCCATAATCAACAAGCTTATCAACACAAGCATTGCCTTCCCTATAAATGTGCAAAGAATAGAAATGCATATGTGAACATAATTGTAAACACCTCTTCCATCGACATAGAATGGGTCAAGGAACAATAAGAATATTCTGAAAAGTAGCCAACATCGGCTTTGAATCACATTCCAACCACAAATTATGCCAACCTACATCAAATGCATACTCGATCACCCATATAGTCGTTGGTAGTTTAACATATAATGCATCCTGCATACCTAAAAAAACTATAGAGCCCCCTAGAAAAGCTCCTAAATAATCTCGAAAAAGACCACCACAAGCAGTTGGGCCAGGAGAACCTTTAGCTCCACCATCAGAATTACATTTTACAAACCCACATTCTGGAGGATGCCAATTTACTTGCTTGACTACCACGGGTTCAGGAGGGTGAGTAATGACCAAAAATTATTTAAGTATACAAACATCATTCCAAGAGTGAGAAATACGACCTATCATAGATGAGCTAGATAATGCAACTGTCAAAATGATCAAAGATATGAAATGTTGAAAGCCGAAAACCTTGTTTTTATAGTGCACACTATTTCTATGAAGCCAAATCAACCAAATGACATGTACCACCAATGCTAAACAAAGAACCTCCCTAACCTATGGGCTCCAATTCCAATCCAAAAAGTCCAACATACTATGGACAGATGAGAGATTAATAGGATGTTGAATTATATTCTGCAACCACAACCAAAGTTATTTTACAAAAGGGCACTGCATGGCAGTCACACATAAACTACACATTGATACAACTATCACACCTCTAGAAATCAAGTTATCATCCACTGGAAATTTATGATAAATCAATTTCCACAGAATGCATGAACATGTAGGTGGTAAGAAGTTGGCCCATATGACCTTCCCCCAAGCAAAATGTTGCCTAGGTGACGAGACATGATGATGTGCCATTTTGAATGAAAACACTCCATTTTTGGATGGCCTCCACATAGGCTGATCAGGTTCCAAACCCAGGGGAAGAGTAATCTATGCGAGAGAGGCATAAAGAGTAGGCAACTTATGTAACAGCAAAGTCAGTATACACTACGAGCCATTTGCAAAAAAACAACCAATAGTTGAACAAAGTCGACATTGAATCTCAATTGGAAAATGTAGAATATCTGCAATCGGCTCATCAAAATACCAAACATCATTCCAAAAATTAATATTTCTACCATCACCAATTAACCAACTTGTATGACGCTTTGCATCATACAAATGAAGAGAAATGGAGGGCCAGACAGAAGATGGATTAAAACCCACCAATGGCACCTTACATAAAAACCTGGCTCGCATAAAAGCAACCCATTGCTCAAAAGAATGCATGAAATTCCAAGATAATTTCAATGTAGTCGTCTCATTCATAGCTGAAATTGAAATAACACCAAGGTCCCCTTTGCCAAATGGTCTACAACCGTAACCACCTTGGATGTATATGCGTCTCCAAACCAGATAAAATTACGGATGAGCCGTTCCACTTGTTTCACCACCAACTTAGGCCAAGTATAGACTTGGAAGCTATAAAGAAGCATCCCTGAGATAACCGCATTAACAAGTTGAACTCCCCCCATCATAGAGAGCAAGACACCCTTCCATGAGGATAGATTGGCCTTGATTTTGTCCAGTACACCCTGTAAATACCTGGTCCAAGGTTTACCTTTGACAATAGGAACACCTAAACAAGTAAAAGGAGTTGTATCAAATGAAAAACCCAAAATGGACCATAATTGAGTAACTCTAGCTGAAGATATGGAACCATAGAAAAACTTGCATTTTTCAGGAGTAATAAACTGGCTTGAAGCTTCACCATATTGCTTAATACGGAACATAAGATCTTTTAAGGTTGTTGTAGATCCCTTACAAAACACCATAATATCATCAGAAAAAAATAAAAATAAATCATGCGTTGGTGTATGAAAACCATGAGGACTAGCCATAGGAAATAGCAACCCCTAATCAGCCAAAGGAGAGATATATATCCAAGACCCCTTGATTGATGGATTTTCACTAATCACAAATTTATGCTTGGAGAAATGTTAGCAACACACTCTCTAATTGGTTAAAATTTATTGAAAAACACAATTTGTGAATCTCACATCTTATTAAATGACCTCTCTTGATTTTGTAGTTTTCAATAAATTTTAATAAAAAAAATGAATGTGTTAAAAGGAGTGTGCTAGATATGTAGCCTCCTCTTTATACTTCAACTTTCCAAATTTCCTGAAATGAAACCTTCCTAAATATTACATGATTTCTCACATTATTTTTAGATAAAATGAAAATTTAATAAATATAAATTAATATATACTAGTATACTTTTACAAAAATATAAATATATTAGAAGAATGTTAATTAGAAATATATGATATAAATATAAGTTTTTATGTCTAAAATATGCAAATTAGATACTTAATATTTATATCATATATTTTCAAAGAAAAATTAAACTCACTTCCCTTGAGATTTGTTTAAATGACACATATATCCCCTCTAATTTTTAAAAATCACACACCGCCCTTAGAATAACGTCATTAGTTAAAGTGTGAGAATGAGAAATGTAAAAGTCAAAAACATAAAAGTCATATTTTGTCAACCATATGTGTCTATCCCATATTTTTGAATTACATATGATGCTTTGTCTTCTTTATGAAAATTGTTCTTCAATTTTGAAAATAATAATTTCAAAGCCCATTCTTTGAAATTGTTCCTTAACGATCATATTTTTTTTAAAATCACAACAATCATGATATTTAGAACATAATTTGAGAGTTAAAATTGAGTAAGAGATTAAGGGTGGGTTTGTTTTTCAGTTACGTTGAACGTAACCCAAAAACAACACATCACTTGCTTTAGCTTTTTTGCATCGGAAAGTGAAAAAAGTTCGTTTAACTAGTTTTGAACGGATTTCCAAACACACTCTAAGTTTCATTCAATTGTTAACACTTGCATTAATAATTTGTCCTCTTTTAACAATGCACAAATGGTGTTATATAAAGGATTGCATGTGTCGGTTAGATAAATAATTAAAAAAGGTTAATGTTCACTTAAAAACTAAAGGAGAGGTTAGTGTGTCATTTAACGAGACCTTCGGAGAGGTCAATGCAATTTTTCCTATTTTCAATTAATTTTTCCTAATATATTTATATTTACTAAACTATTAACTTTTATATTAGTATATTAATATTATTAATACTATTAGTATTAATTTATCAATGATATTTAGAAAACAAGTAATATGAATAATATATATTAATTTTGTATTTAGTAGTATTAAATATATGTGCAATTTTGATTTTTATTGAAGATATATAACTTTTATGTAAACAACAAAAAAATATTTTAGTTTAGTGAGTGGTTAAGTGTTGTCCTTAGAAGTTGGGGATTCTAATCCCATCTTTAAACATTTTGAAAAACATTCTCGTATTTTCACATCATATCATGTCACTGACTTATTGACATCTGTTACATTGGAGGATTCCATTTGCTTACTTGAAATTTGGAAAACCAAAAATGTACAACAACTACGATTCTTTGGGGGAGTAAAGTGTATTTAAACATTGGAGTGAATATTTATTTAGATTAGTTGGTAATTCTTTTTGGTTCCTAATTGTTTGTGAAAGAGGATGGTAGTCACAAAAAAAATTATTGATTTCTAAAATTTCCTTCTCTCTTAATAATTGAAGGGTGTAATGATTCAATAAATATACAGACCAAAAGCGGTTAATAAACAAAGTATCCCCTTTGTTATTTTATATAAGATATTTAGATGTATAAATATACTCTTAGCTTTGGAAATAATTTGGGCTTGATTTTTATTCATACCACTTGTGTCTTATTTGGATAATCTTCTCCATAAACACTTATGAGAGAAGAAAATAAAAGAAAAATGAATCAAAATCTTTTTAAGTTAAAATCAAATCATGAAGCTCAATTTTTGAAAAAGTGAGATGTGAGAGCTTATATAAAAATTGTTGTACATAAGTTGATTTTAACTTGTGGAAAATGTTTAATTTATTATACTTAGTTATTTTCTTCTCCTATAAACACTTATTAATGAGTTTATCTAAAATGGTCTTTAGTTTATTTGAATTGGACAAATGACCGTAGCCTTTTAAGGTCGATGTTACATGGCTTAAATTTCTTGATGGGGATATAGATATTCTTACTTTTCCATTTTCACTACCTTGGAAATTGGAAAATATATACTACTCGTATTTTTAATCCCCAGCCTTTATGTTATTTCATATCAGACGAGCAATTTATATCTCAGTTCAGTTTCATTATGGTTTAGAGGGATCACCCCTCTAAATCCTAATTGAATCGTGCATCTTTTTAATAATTAATACCTTTGTCTAATTTGCAGGTAGATTCTGCTGCAAATGTCCAACCTGAAAAAGTTGAGGACATTTGGAACCTCAGAGGGATATTAAACACTTCATGGCATCGGGTAAAAGTTCAAGCCACTCACTCCAACCTGTAAAAGTAGCAACAACTTTCCAATTGAGCCTGCTTGACCCATCCCCACCCCAACTTTATGCTTTGGTGGATTTTGAAAATCTTTCTGAACAGTGAACACTGAAAATACTGAACAGGCATCGCGGTAAGCTGTACAATAATATATTTATAGAAATGTAGGTAAGGGGTTATAAGTAATCACCTTACTCAAGTATCGCATGGAACTTTGTTTCTTCAAGGACATCATTTGAGATCATAAACATAACGTGAGGTGTGTAACACTTGCTTTGTGTTTGGTTTCATGTCAGGTTATCTATAATTAAGGGTGAAAAAAAAATTGAACTGAACTAACTAACCTGTAGTGAATTACACTGAATTGAATTATAAAATACTAAATTATTCTACAAACTGAACTTGAGTGTTTTTTTTTTATAAAAAAATTGAACTGTTTGAAAATTGAAATGAACTTAATTATAAAAAGTGAACGAAATTATTTATAAAATGGTAAAAATTAAAGATGTAGAAGATGACTCGATTTGATAGTTGGTTCGTTGGCTTGACCACTATTTTCAAACATAAGGCCTACTAGTTTATTTTTGACCATATATATATATATATATATATATATATAAAGACTTTAATTATATTTAAATTATTCAATTTTAATAAAATTTGATATATACATATAAGGTGATATGAAGTTATAATTCAGCGGTTAAATCGACAAAATTTATATTTAATTGAAAGTTATTAAACAATGTAATAATTGATAAAAATTACATAAGTATTTTTTTAAATCTTCTCTCTCTCTATATATATATATTTTGTAAAATTTAAACTAAAATAGAAAATAAAATGATCAATTTGACCTATCTTAACAAATCAACAAGCTAAAATTATTTAATTCAAAGAATCAAAATAGATCAATTCAGTTTGGATTGTTCTTTAGTTCAAATTTTTGTAATAAAATTCAATTCAGTGAAACAAAAATTGATTCAGTTTGCATGAATTAACTTTCAATTCTTTTAAGTTTAGGAGATTTTTTTTCTTTCCAATTTAGTGTAATTTTATAAGTTTGGTTTATTTTGTTTACGCTTATCTATAATCATGTTAAAATAGTGGCTAACATTAATTTGATAAAAGTTCATGTTTGGTTTCTTGTACAAGAATTGAATCTAAAATTAATTGAGTTGAAGTAATTGTTAAGAATTGGGTCTAAAATTAATTTTCAGGTGAAGTAATTGTTAAGACCTTACTTCGAGAGAAGTTACCTCCATATTAGAGAGAGAGAGAGAGATGAAGAGATGATAAAATAGAAAGAAAAACAATGTTCAATTCATTACTTCCCTTTCAATGTTGGTGTAGTATGTATATATAGTAGATATGTTTTACAACTAACTAATAGCTAGACATAACAAAATCTTATAGTTTCATGATTATTTTCTTAAATTGCAACAACCAAATAAATGATTCTAATTGTCATTCATTTAATACCCTTATTGTAATATATATTCCTTTATTCACTTAATCCTAAGAATTGGCTCATAACATTTTCATCTTCACAAACACTTTTCCCTCATGGTGTAATTATGATCAAGCTCTGCTCCCACGTGGTAGTGTATAACCAAGTTTCTTTCCAGTCAAAAGTTCCACAAGGACAACTCAAAATTGTATACATCATTGTTAGCATTCAATTGACTAGTTATGGTGCGTGATAACCAAAGATTTCAAGGGTGGAATAGAAATATGTTGCTATGGCCTGGGAATGTTAGTCCGTCCTTCCCAAGGGCGAGCTAGCGGGCTAGCCCACATATCACTAAAAAAAATTGTAAAAAATAGTATCTTATGTTCAAATAAAAAAATTATTATAAATAAATAAATATAAACACATAAAATTAAAAACGCATATATATTGTGTATAATATATGTTCAACAAAAGCAAATTACAAACTTACAACAAAATCAAATAGAAATTAATCTACTTACAACAAAATCAAAACTAAATTACAAACTTATAAATTTTTTTTAACAAGAACTTCAAATGTGAGTTGGTGGGTTGTGACAGGTTAGTCCGCCATTTGACCCAACGGGTTAGCGAGGCAGGCTTGGCGGGTTAGAATGATGGGCCCGGTATACGGGTATACGGGTCACGACCCATTTTGTCACCCCTACAAAATATGTAATCTTAGCAACATCGCCATCAATGATCAATACATTATGTTTGACTTGATGTTTTGGTGGATTTGGGGATCAACCCTCTTATGCAATAAATCAAGCCCTTAGTTAGCCGTACAACAATTTCAACTCTTTTGTGTCCATGTTAGAACAATACTTTCCATATAAAATAACATGAAGAAACCAATTAGATGTAAACTCATACACAATAACTTGGGATTTTCCATCAATGCAATAAGCAAGCATTTGAACAAATTTGTCATGCTTCATCCCTGAAACCATTGAGACTTGGGCTAAAAATTCCTCATTAGTCTGTTTATTGGCATTTATTTTCTTGAGTGTCACAACCTATCCATTTTTTTTCGAAGATAATATACTCTTTCATAGGAATCCTTTTTATTCAAAGAATTTCCTTCAAAGCCTATAATTGCTCTAACTCTAAGTTTATCATTAGTAATTTAAGCACTTCAATGACCATTATAACATAACCCATTATTGAAGGTTCACACAAGTGTCCGATGTGTTGACTAACTCTTATCATCAAATAGTTGACATACATCAATTACCCAATCGTCTAATAAGATGAAGTATACACCTAATTGTTGGAAGGGACGAACAAAAAACACATGAATTGGGAGTTGCATTCCTAGAAATTGAATGCCATTGTGGTTTTGCTTAAATGTCTCCATTCTAACATAGTGTACTTCGGGTTTCTGTTCCATAATAGTACAACCGTGGAAAAAAGACAGATATTGGAAGGGGATTGAATAGTGTAGATGAAAAAATTAACAATTATTTTTAAAAAAAATAGTGAAGTAGTTATGTAAGACCAAAGGAGTGTAGATTATGTAACATTCTTTAGATTTGACGTCTCAACAACTCCACTCTATGATACTTCACATGGTGATACTACACACAACTCTTTGTTGATCAAAACTCTATACTAGTCAAAACCCTTTGTGAGTAGTCTTTTTTGATATGTTTGTCCTCTCATTTTAAGATTAATGGTTGACCCCACAAACTAACACAAGATTTTTAAATCAAAATTATTTTTGATCCTCCAAATTTAAAAGTGATTTTTTAACTCATCTAATATGAAATACCATCATTTTTAGTTTGTAGAGTTAACAACGATTAAAATATAGTTAATGTGGCTAATAGGGCACGATGCAACAATTTTTAATTCACAAGTTTTTGCAGCTTTTGACCGCAACAAAATATGCTTCTTCTTAACAACTAACACATTGTGTTCATTTTCTAGAATAACAAAAATTCAAAATCTCTTATAAGCACATAATAAAGATTGTGCGAAATAAAATAATTAAGCAAGTAAAAATTTTAAAAAAAAGGAAGGAAAATGAGTTTCAAAGTCTTGGAAGAAACATTGCCTGCATCGCACAACTATAAGAAGGGTAAGAAACCCTCACTAGCTTGTAGCACCCATGGAGCGGACAACATCCACATTGGTTCTAGGTGGTACAATACATATATGACTATGGTGTTGTGGAGTACGAGAGAAATAGAAATTAAAAAATGGGATAGATAACGAAGGTGATGAGATGACACAATTATGGGTTTATGTGCGGCAACAACAATGTGTTAGGGAGAAATGCAAGGCGACAAAGAGAGAGAGAGAGGGAAAACCTACTTTTATAGTAGGATTTGTAAGTTGTTGTTCCTCACATCCTTATGGATTATGCATGTATGTGCATGGGTCTGTGAGAAATTTTTAATTACCAAGTGTGAGTTTTTATGCAAATAAAAATGGCAGAAACAAAGGTTTGGAGTCTATTTGTATGATTGTTGTTTTGCCTATGAGAAAGAAGATGAAGGTTGATGGTATGAGTTCTAGGTGAAGGTTTGTGGGGTTAAAAGCCACTAGAAATTGTTAATTCAAAATTTCCAAAAACTACATCGTTAGCCATGTCAACAATTTTTTTAATGGGGATAATTATAAGAATTAAAATGAGAGTTTTTCATACTAGAGGATTAAAAAAATCACTTTTAAATTTGGAGGACAAAAACAATTTTTTTTTATTGTGAATTTGATACTTATGAATTTTATTATTATTAGTGAAAAGAGGCACTTCGTGCCTTATTTTGAAAAAATAAATAAAAATGTGAACAATTAATTTTAAAATAGAGAGATAGTTGAGCAAATTATTAAGGGGTAAAAAGTTCCAAAAGAATGTGATACTAAAATAGGGCATTCATGTTATAAATGTTAATGATGAATTTTAATTTAATTATTATTTTAAATATTGAGCACGGACTTTATAATACATTTTTTTAAAAAAATTGAAGTATGAAGTTGTGTTATTTTGAATTGTGATTTAAAATTTAAGGTTTGAACATATGATATTTGTTATTTAGTGTTTTCACAATTTTAAAGCATTACTTAAACTGCTTCAATCTATACATCTTTTTTTTTGTACATTAGAGAAAAGAAACAAACAACAACAACAACAACAACAACAACCAAGCCTTTATCCCACTAGGTGGGGTCGACTATATGGATCAAATGACGCCATATGGATCTATCATAAATCATCTCTCTTGATAAGGCATTGATCTCCATGTGGGTTTAGTGTTTTAGTTTATTCATTTTTTCTTTTTTTCTTTGTTTCTTTTCTCTTTATCCGATGTTATTTGGATAAAGAGAAAAGAAACAAACAAAAAAAGAAAAAATGAATAAACTAAAACACTAAACCCACTTATACACCATACCTAGTGCATCAGCTAACAAAAGCCCCTAAAACTCCATAGGAAACTGTTAAAGCCAAACCAATCTTCCCTCCCTTTGGCTCTCATTCGTACAAGAGCATCTGAACACTTGTTCCTTTTGTGGAACATATGAATCAACTCACACGACCAATCTTCTGTTGAAGCAAATGAATCTCCATGAGTTCATTTCCTAACTTATGAAACAAAGGAATAGCACCATGCAACAAATCCACAACCTAGAGTCAAAATATTAGATTACACATCAGAAACCTTTCTCTCAACATGCTTGAAGTCCATGCAGAACTGTGAGTAGCTCCATTTTTAGAATAGATGTTGTCTCAACATGTCCATAATAACCAAACAAAAACCCTCTTGCATGATC